TACGTGGTTCCTACATGTATGCGTTATTGGTTGGAATCATTGTGGAATGGGGAAAAATGTAAATCACGAAACTTGTTGACAATTTAGTCATCTTTTTATAAGAGTTTGAATAAGCTCATTCAAACTTGGGATTCTCAGGTTATTGCTGGAAAGACTAACAAGGCATCGGAAAAAGTAAATAGGTATGTTCCCTGCTTAAAATAATTGAATTGAATGGATAATGATGTGATTGGTTGTGGAAAATTTTCAAAGAAAAACGGAAATTTTGAAAATGCGTTTGGTTCGTTCAGTTTTCTAAGAAAATGAAAGTTTTTAGTTTTTCAAATTGTATGTAAATTAGAAAAGCAAGTTTTACAGTTTTCAAATTTTTTAAGTTGGAAATTGAAAACTCCACCGCTTCTAACCAAACGTATTTTCTAAAATTTTCATTGAAAACTAAAAATGAAAACAAAACTTTATTTTCTGAAAATATTTTTTTAGAAAATAAAAATAGTTTTCAACAACCAAATGCACCTTAAACTTTTTAGTTTTTGCTGGAATTAAAGGTTTGGCTAGAGGTGGTGGTGGCGAATAGTAGTTTTAAGAGAATGATTTGTTTGGCTAGAGCGGTGATAATTAACGACACAAAAAAAAATACATGACACAAAATGAAATCAAGACAAAATTGAAATTTGAATTTATGTTCGTGTTATACTCGTATCAAGTGTAAAAAACACGATGTCGTGTCGTGTTCGTAGTCAAAATTTGAAACGAAATTCACACAATTGTTTGTTGTGTTTTTCGTGCTTGTTTTTTTTATGTATGATTAAATGTTAATTAAATAAAATAATTGTTATTATATGTTTATTTTTGTTGTATGGTGTTATGTTTAATTGGTTTGTTTTTGTGTTAGTTAAAAAAACAAGACATCAAATGGTGTTCATGTTACATAAAACCTTGTAGTGTCGTGTCGTGTCAGATAAAAACACACGACACGGTTGTTCGATTTATCACCCCTATTTTAATGGTGATTTTTGAACAAATATATCACATTTGGACAGTTTGACCCATTAAACCTGTTATTGAAGGTCATCTTCGTGTTTTTTGAACAAAAGTAATAGTAACTTATAATATTCTCACATTTTTTGAACATTTTAAATAATTTATTATTTAATTCCGACATTAACCCGTGTTGACAATGAAGATACATGGAACCGGAATTTATACCTCCTCATGGATGATATTAGCATGGTAGATGGATGTGGGTTGTCCATCATTTTAGAAGAAAACAATGTAAATTTATATTGATAATAGCATTATACACTTGTTCGAAGTTTCACATCAATCACTAAACAAATGACATTTTTGCCTCGGATCCTACAAAAACAATAAGAAACCTAGAAGTACAAAAAAAGGTTTACTAACTGAAATAATTAATGAAAAACCACTTACATTTTGGGCAGGGGCGGATGCATAAATACATACTAGGTGTTGCCGATGCAGGAAAAATAGGTAAAATAAAATCGAAATATTTTCCACTGCGAACAGATAGAATAGGTGTTGCTGGTGTCACTATGGGCATTTATACAAAACCGCCACTGCTATTGGGTTGAAGCTTTAGACCAGGGACAGATCTTCTTGGGGGCCGGGAGGGACTGTGCCCCCCCCCCCCCCCCCCCCTTTTTTTTTTTTTTTTTTTGTCACAGTTAGTCCTTAAGTATTAAATTTTTTACATATTAGGCTCAAAAACTATAAAATTTGGCTTTGGCCCCTCCTCCGTTATTGCTGGAAAGACTAACAAGGTATCGGAAAAAGTAAATAGGTATGTTCCCTGCTTAAAATAATTGAATTGAAAGGATAATGGTATGTTTGGTTGTGGAAAAGCTCCGTCACTACTTTAGACATAACTTCTTAATATCATCACATCATCACCGACCGACAATTGCACGCCTTTTTATTTTCTTTTTCGCAAACATCCGACATATTTTCACCGACGAGTGTTTAGGTGTCTATGTTATCCACACCTTAGCACATCAAATAAACTCAATCCTCAATCCACTATGTTTATTTTCCTTGGCTACTTCTCTTATCATCGCAACTTTAGTTGTTTTGATCTTTCCTCCAAAATTATCATCATTTTATTCCATGTCATATGTGAAGAGCCCTTTAAACCTTTTGGCTTTATGACCCCTATCAAACTATCCTCTTATGTGTTTCTCAAAGATGTACCATCCCTTCATCAGTTTCTCAACTATAACAATTATATTCCTCAGTCCTACACCCACAAACCCCCTACAACCTAATCTTTGATTGAACCATCTACCATGACTTCGATACCTACATACCACTCATCTTCAAATCACGAAACCTTCCTCGCCCTTACTGCATTTTGACATTTTGTCACTACTACTATAACTCAACCCCTGCCCCGCTCGTGCCAAATATGACATTTAAAAACACATCCAATGCATTAACTACACAACCACCCTTTCCTTTGTGGCATGTTCCTATCTAATACATGCTTTATGAATTTTAACTTGCATCAAGCGATGAATTCCGAGCTTAATGACCTTATTACTAATGGAAATTGGCTTCTTATTCTTCGATCCATGGGGTGTTGTCCAGACCATGTGGTCATTTAATCACACTTTGAATGCTAATGGCTCTCTTGCTCGTTACAAATCACATCTAGTAGGCAACGATAAAACTCAACCCCCACATATTGATTGAGTTAGTGCGGTTGTCCATATATGCCAAACTTCTTATATTTTTTCATTTAACACCCTTTAGTTAGCTAAAAGTTTTCAAATATATTTTAGCTTTTTTTAGCTCTTGTTTTAACAACCTTTAGTTTGCTAGTGTTCTGCGAATGTTAGCATGGGCGCTTAGATGATGTGGTTTATCTGTTTTCTATGTGGATAGATGATCGGTGGTCGTTAAAAGTGATACAAGAAATACATAATCACGAGCTTGCCTTACATTTTAAAGGTCATCCGTATCTAAAATGTCTTTTTGAAAATGAAACCTGATTAATGGAAGATTTGATAATAAAAATGTGAAACCTTGAGATATATTATCTACAATAAAAAGCAAAATGTAGAAAATGTATTCACTTTTCAAACTATATAATGCACACCAACTCAATATTGGTTGATTATGTCCGACATTAGTTTTCTCATTGTTAACGAGTATAGTGTAATCGTTCATTTTTTAAGCAAACAAGGTATCACTGGCACGCTTTCCGTTTTGGCATAGTCTACACGACATCCCACATCATACATTTATTATTATCGCCCTCATTCACCATGACAATTATGTTAACATAAGGTTGATTTACAATGAGCATATCCAATGGCCTAAAGTTTTGCAAGAACGTTTTGTTGGATGGAAAACCATATACAAACTAAAAGATTGAATGCATATATTCCACAAATGCATGACATAGTGATTGTAATATTCTAAAGAGTTTAGTTATATGATAAGTAATAAAAATATATATACTTTGTTATTTATTGTTATTTTTTTCTATTAATAATAACAAAAATATATACTTTGTTTGAATTATTTGGTTTATTATAATTATTAATATCCTTGTAATAACACTGAAATAATATAACTTAGTTGCAACAAATGCTAATACTAGTACAAAGATCTATTGTATTATATATAACTTATTAATATCCTTGTACCCTTTATCTTTTAGAGTTTAGTTGCAAAAAAATATATATTCACTGTATATTATACAATATTTGCATGTCCCCATTCAAAAATTAAGGGGCCTTTTTTTAATAAATTGACAACGTTGGTGATTACTGAAAATATAAAATTATATGACTATTATGTCTAAAATTCAACCCAAAAATAAAATAAAAGATATACGAAAGACAAAAAGAGGCTATGCGAGACATAAGTTTTTTATAATGTGTTTAAAAACCACCAATGTCATGGTATATATAGCAAACGAAATTTTGTGCTAATTCATAATATTTAGCTGGTGTTTTATCATGTTATAAATATTTAATCTTTGAGATTGTAAGTTGTAAGACATAGAGTTAAGTAATAAACCAAAATATACCAACGTCAAAATGGTACTATTCGATAAAAGTTTGAACTTGAAACATGTACATCAAGTTGATCCATAACATTATTTGTCGTATGAACATTATTTTTCATATAATTAACGTTTTAAATATTGACTTCACAACCATAAGATCACAACAATATCAACCAACAGGTCCCACAATCAACATGTTGGACATAAATCACCAGAAACGAGATACTATTTATAGATCCGCGTGTCCTTGCTATGCATAAATGAAAATAACAATAAAAAAAATATTAACATAATCTATCAATAATGATGACACCATTTAAAAATGCAAAATTCAGCATTTGAGCAACAAATAAAAGAAACAGACAGACAGGTCTACCATAAACAACATACATAGAATAAATATGAAAGAAACGGAGTGATGATATCATTCAGTTTCAGCAACATTACCATATTGCCAAGGGTTGAACTCAATCTTTGTGATGTCAGCATCTTCATTCGTGTTTGAGTTTGAGTTTGAGTTTGAGTTGCCAACATCAATAGCCTCCCGATGTTTGGAATATTTTCCATTGTATTCATAAATCTCCAAATCACCCCATGGCGTCACAGCAACCTCTTCAGTCATATCAAACCATCGAGGAACAAACTTCTGTCCCTTTGCCTCTCGAGTCCTCTTCTCACTTCTCTGTTTCTCCTCCAAACTAATAAACACAAATCATTAATCCAATCAACTCTTACACTTATTTTCGCTTTCACTTTCACTTTCTTTATTAACTCATTAAACTTTGTACAATTATGTGTGTATATATGTGTGTGTGTGAGAGAGAGAGAGAGAGAGGGGGGGCATACATGCTTTTTTCTGAACCAGCTTTAGAAAGATCACCCTTTTCAAGTGCATATCTATCGGACCTCAACCGAGAATCTGATGCCAATAAACTTGGTGGAGCAGTATCGAAACTGTTTACTTTATGTGCAAAATGCGTATACTGAAATTTATCGTTTGCAGGAGTCTCAGCCACTTTCCACACCTTCACAAAAACAATAACTTCAACATTCACATTTTTTATTTTTTATTTAAAAAAAAAAAAAAAGATATAGATGCTTTCTTACCTCTTTAAGCTCGGTGCCCGAAAGGGGTTCCCCATCTAAATCACAAGGCTGATAGCTCATAGATGTGTTCCATTTTCCTGTCATTAACACCTTCGGTTCTTCATCAGCATTGTATACATATCCATCCACTTCATACCGACCAGCACTACAATTTACAAACAAAAAAAACATATTCCTGATTAAAAATGCAACTGGGTGGATGTGTGTGTGTGGGTGTGGGTCCCACAGACAAAGGAGTTACACCAAGAAAGAGACATTACCCAAACCAACCACAAGGTTGAAAATAGAGCACAACTTTGTCTCCTGTGGTCAAATTGGTCAACACCATCTCTCCTGGAGAATCAACCCATGTCCTTCCAAATATTAAATTGTTAACTTTCGTGGGTGGGGGTACCAATTCCAAGATTACTCCATCTTTCTTTAGCTTCAAACGCGATCTACATTCAACATTCAAAATATCAACCAATTTTGTAACAGATTGTGACTATGACTCTGACTGTGATAGACAGGTGTTAATGGTAGTACGCATGAAAAATACCTTCCGAGAGGGTAAATGTCAAGCGAGTTTCCAAGAAACTTGGTCTTCACCTTCGAAGTTATATCATAAACAAAATGATCATTTTCAGCATGTGCAGCACTCATTGGAGGGTGATGACAAACCTGATATGTATAATGTAATTATTATGTATATAACATTAAAAGAAAAAATAGTTAATTCAAAATCTTTGAAAATTTCACCTGTTCTGCAATGAATGTAATTCCCTCATGATTAACCATTTCATATGTTTCACCAAGTATTGGATTGAAAGGCTTCCAGGTTCGTTGCAAAGCATAATATACAGATATAAACCAGGATGCTGTAACAAAAAAGAAAACTCAAAAATTATTAAATTTTAAATGTTTGTGTTTGATATTTTTAGTTAGAGATAGAGATTCTCACCAGCATACACCAATCGCATGTGTGGATCTTCACATTCATCTGCTAGCTCTAGCAAATGGGAATATTCCATCAACTGAGAAAAATAGAGATAACATATAAATAACTCAAAAACTTAAAATAAAATCCAGTGACTTCAATTTTCAAACAAACCTCTGCCATTTTCTGCAGCATTGTCATTGGCTCAAAAATGAGTACAGGTAGAGTCACCATTGATGTGATATCAGCACCTACATACTTCTGCATCATCTTCCAGTGACCATCACGATCCTGTATAAAGAAACACAACATTCAAAGCAAATTATATATCGATTTGTGAGGAATTTCAATCTTCATGAAAGAAAAACAAAATATAATGCATGCACCTCTTGCTTCCATCTGCCTCTTTGTGCTTCAACTTCAGCATCTTCTGTCCCTCCTTCAGGATTTATAACCTCCAACCCCTCGTAACCAAGCAAGCTACACAAACAGGTGTGAATCAGAGATGCAAATAACATGTTTCACGTCATGAGATCTGATCTACCCAACAAGAGTCAATCACAAAACTAAAGGTTTAGTTTGACATTAAAATTTAGCCGTTTAAAGATCCACAATTGAGACGATATGCTCATCTCGGATCTAGACAGATCAATTACAGAAGATATAAAGTGAATCGCCTTACTAATGAAGTCATCGTGTTTTCAAATGATTATAAATTCCTTTGGAAAGTATCAAGTGGATCAAGAGCAATTCATGGACGATATCGACAAGCTAAACGCCAACTAAAATCGTGTCAATCGACTGCGAAGACCTAGACTTGTAAAAATGAAGGTCGAAACAAATCAAGCAAATATTACTATATCCCAACACTTCAGAAACTCTCGAGAACAAAAAAACAGCCAAGACAACACCAATCGGCTTACAATGAAAAGGGAAAAGAAACATAGAGAGTTGTTTACCCGTTAACTTGGTTCTTAAAGTTGGAAAGACTTGAAGCAAGCGATGAGAAAAACCCACCACCACCACCTTGCTTCTGCGCCATATCTGAAAGTAGAAAGCCCTAGAACTCGATGCTTTTTCCTTTTCCACCAAGATTAGGGAGTTTTTCCCTAGAGCTATATATACGAATATGCAACAAATTGCGATTCAATTATACTTGTGAACAGCTAACCAAGGTAGATCTTATAATTGCTTTTACAGATAGATTAAAAAAGCACACAATTATTAGACAATACGTGCTGTGAATGTGATTCTGAATATTTTATCAATTGCGATTTAGGGATCGACAGAAAAGCTCCGTTGGCGGGTTCTTTCTTTTGAAGTCAAAAATGATAACAGCGATGAAGTTGATTGGGGGAGAAGCGTGCACGCGCTAGCAAGACGCGTGGTTGTTTTGTATTTAGTCTTTTTCAGAGCTGAAATTGATGTTTCCAGATAATAGTACAACTCTATATTCTTATTGTATGAACTCCTTATGCATAGGTATTCTGGATTTGAGAATTATTGGTATTTACTATTTACAAGAGAGGCGGCTGAGGCCAACTTGTACGTGCCGATCTCCACTCGGCCTGCTCGGCCTTTCCCCTTGGCCTCTGTTTCGTTCCAAACAAGAAGGGGATGACGTCATACTCAATGTACAAGTCTTTATCCATGTGGTACAAGCGGATTGACTTTTTTATTTTTTCCGACTTCTATCGATTTTCAACTCAGGTTGACCAAAGTGGCAAACGATGAAATTAATTTGCTTGACATACATTTCTCCTCCCTAATGTCACAAACGCTATCTTTACAAATTCGTTATCTATCACATGGTTATTTGAATTAAATTAGGGGTTATTTGAATTAAATTGGGGGCGGTTAGAGAGGATTTAAATATTTCCAAATACTTTGGTCAACCTAAAAAATAATTTTTATCCTTATTATAAATTTTTATTTATAAATATATATATATATATATATATATATATATATATATATAATAAAAAAAATCTTGTGCAGCTGTTTATTTTTGTATAATTTCTTAAATCTTAACCTTTTTATAATTATGTCAACATTGGTCCTTAACTCCTTATGTTGAAAAAGGTGGCATTCGAATACATGGGGGTACGTATGAGTAGGCTCAGCGTACTCATGCACTTAGGTGCTGTTTGTTTTTTTGAAGTCAAAATGTCTGCAGTCTGCGGACCACATCTGCAAGCCTCTGCGGCAGAAGAGGTGGACCAAATGTCTGCAGTCTGCAATAAGAAGACTGTTTGTTTTTAACATCTGCGGGCCGTTAAAATAAATTGAATTTTTAAACTTAATTTCATGTTATAAACATTAAAAATGTATTTTTAACAAAAAAATGAAAGAAAAAAAAACTGCACGGTGGCCATGTTTTTTTTTTTTTTTTGTTTAGGTTAAAATAAGGTCTGAAGACCTTTGAAGACAGTGGCCCATGTCTGCGCCAGGAAGACCTCGCGCAGACGTTTTCTGATTTGCGCACTTCCAAAAAACAAACAATCTGCGAGGGCATATGTCTGCGCGTTGTCTGCGCGGCGCAGACAAAAGTGGTTGCGCAGATCTTCACACAAAAAACAAACAGCCCCTTAGTATTGTTGCAGAGGCCACCTAGTATATTAGGTGTACCAAAGTTTCTGTTGGGCGTACTAGGTTCAGTGAGAAACCTTGATATTTTCTTGTGCCCCTATTTAAGGAATATGATGGCCTCATTTTCAGCCACCACTATCAGCCTCCAACCTCCTCAAAACCCTAATCTCGTCCCTCTAGCTTGTGTGAGTGTCTTTGGCTCATTTTAGTGTTCTTGTGAAGCTCTTGGTGGAGAAGAAGCCTTAAAGGAAGGATAGATGGTGTTTCTAGATCTTGGATTTGAGTTCTACTTCAGTTGGTGCATCTTCCAAAGGTATAAAGTTCAAAACTTGTTCATTGTTTGTTCTAGTTACTGTTTTGGGTCCTTTTTAGGGTTTTATGTCCCAAGTATGGAACTTTGTGAGTTTGGTGAACCCCAAAGCTATTATTCAGTCCTTTTAGGTGTATTAGAGTGTTATAATCCATAAAAATGAGCACTTGGATGTCTTAATCTCTCCATGCATGAATTGTATAGTCGTTTGTGTTGAGAAAGTTAGAGTTTTTGGGATTGGGTCTTGTCTAGCCATGCAAAGGCTCAAAGTCAGTAACTTTATGGAATAAGATGTCTTACTTGGCTCATATTTATAGTTGGAATGCTCGTCTTAATGGGTTAAGACCTAGAGAAGTGAGAAGTGAGAGTCCAAGGAGTACGACGTGCGTACCTCCAGCTACACGCATCTTAGAGTAAAAAACCCTCGTCGCATGCTTAGCCAGCAGTACACCCAACATAAGGATTTGTATGCCTAGCATACTCGTTAGGGTTGACGTTCGTTGAATTTTGGGTTTTAGGTTAAATTGTGGTCTTTTGGCCAACAAGGGGAAAAATGGACTTTTTACCCTTCTAAGATTAATGAGAGGCTCGGTCTAGCATTACGATGTTATTAATATTAATTAGAGTTATATTGTGGCATATTTTAGGTGGAGTCTAGACCGACAATTCGAGTGTGAGATTTATTTGTTTTGCTACGCGAAGTGAGTATTCTCACTATATTTACCTGTGTAATGATTTATGTGTGACCGAAGGGTCTTATATGTGTTATTGATTGGAGGGTCTTCTTGTATTATTGACTGTAGGGTCTTGTTTGCTTATACCAAGATATGTGTTATTATGCATTCTGTCTTTGTGACTTATGTTGTTATATTATTTTGTGTATATATTGAGTTATGATCGGAGGGTCCATACCGAGACGTGAGACCGGAGGGTCTTCACTGAGACACATGACCAGAGGGTCCTTATCATTATGTAGCCATAAGAGGCTAGTTATTTGTGTATGTGGTATTTTGGGAAACTCATTAAGCTTCGTGCTTACAATGTTAATGTAAATGTGTTTCATATACATCTCTGGATCGTGGGAAGGCGTCGGCATGCTTGTGCACATTCGTCTGCTAATGGGGCTATTTGTGGATTCTGGGACATTATGATGGTATGTATTTGACGATTTTATTTGGCGTTTTATAGTGTTAAAACCTATGTTTTATGAGTCTTAAAATGAAAATTTTGTTTGAAAATTTTCAGTGTTAAAACTTTTACCTCCCTCAACACCCCCACAAGCCTTGTCACATTTTTACCTTTACAAGTTCATCATTTATCATTTGATTCTTGAATAAATCATTTTGTAAGCAATATAAATTAACAAAAAAAATGAAAAGGGATTTGTGTTATTGTTGGGAATGCTTATAGATAATGGGATGCCAATAAAGGAAAATGTTATAACTCTTTATGCTTGAAGACCTCCATAAAAAATAATTAACAATGATACAACTAATGGATATTGCAAACAATCAAGCATGTCAAGTAAATGAAGGAATGTTCAACGAATAGAAAACTATTATATATTTACAAAAATCTTCTCATAAGTTTTGACTTCTATAAATTTCTGTAAAATCTTAATGAACCTTCATGTTCCTTCAAGTGGGTGGGCTAGTAAATTTCCCCCACCTTAGCTTTCCTTCACTATGTATTTTCTCTTGTTGCTAGACGGCGTCAACCACACCTTGTTGATAGGTATTTGCATACTCAATTCGCCTTGATACATGGAACTCGCATGATTGAGCCTCCTTCTTGCATTAGTACTTGCTAGTTGATGCTTATGTATTGGATGTCTCTTGATACCCTTTCGCTTTGATAGTTCTTTTGTATCTTTTCTATCATAAATCACGCTTTTGATCTATGTTGTCTAACTCTGTGCCCCTTTGAGCCTTTACTTGTGTTTGGATTTTCAACTAAACGAAAACTCCATTTTGTACTGTATGGAAAACACTATATTTGATTCACTTTATTAGCCCACATTGATTGTCACAATGCAAACTCATTATTCATCTAGAAGCACATAGTAACGTAGACATAATAGGAAAAGCTTGTGTAACATCTCAATTTTCACGAAAAAATTTTCATTTAATTGTCAAGATCAATTGTACCAATTTCATTATCAAAGATTGAATAAAAAAACAATTGTTTCAAAATATTATACAACATATCAACATAATAAACATAGTGTGGAATTCTCATACCACATCCAATGATGCCATGCAATCACGTTGTGCTCTTCACCTTGCTATTGACACAACCTGTACCATTTAAACTTAATACCATAAGCACAAAGTTTAGCGAGTTTCCCAATATACCACATACTATATAATAACATATCCAACCCAACAAACATATAAGTGAGCCCAACCCAATGAGTTCAACCCGATAGACATATAAGTGGTCTTACCCCTACAAGCATAAAAGCGGGCCCAACCAATAATAATAACATCACACCAACAAGAATCACGAAGACAACAAGCATAACCTGACACTTAGTATCCTACAGTATAGTGAGGAGGCTCACTTAAAACCCATATCTAAACCTAACTATCCGAATACTCATAGAATCAAATACACGAACTGCCTAAACCAAACACAAGCTAAACCTTGGTTTATAGCTCAAAACCTCCAAGCTTGACCAAAAGTCAAAATGGTCAAAAAGTCAACGGTCAACCCTTATTGACCATCACGACTTGGGCGTGCCTTGTTGTGTCACGTTTGCTAAATGACAAAATAGACGTGGACTCATCAGTCCACCACGTCCTGGCAAGGCCTTTGACGCAACGTGGTTGATGTTCCAGATAACTTAATTTATTAAACTCTAAACCCTTATCTACAAAATCCAAAGGTCGGATATTGATTGATTAAATCCATGCATGGATAAAGTTTCCAACTTTATCCATTCCTTAACCCAAGGTCGTCACAATGCATGAGCGAGTTGAGCTATGGCTTAGGGCAGAAAAACAATAGGGGCATCAATTTGTTCTAATTCGTAATATTGTATATATAACTTTGGCCCAAAGTCTAATCATATAAATGGTCCGATGGTGATTACATGTGTTTGAGGAATAATGAGGATTAGGAAACAGATCATCATCTCATGCATGAGGATCGTAGCACCTTGAGAAGCCAATCAAACTTCTAGAAAAATGCATTTATGAGATCAAGGATCACAGAGCCTTTAATCGACCTACGTCTGGACTGAGTTAGTTTTCATCATTCTTAATTTCTTATTATAATTTCTCCGTTTCTCTCTAACTCTCTTAAACCTACTTGCTACTAAATGTTGGCAAATTTCTTTACTTCTCATTGTAATATGAGATTTCTCTACTATAAGATTTTTGGTATTGTGATTTTTGAAGCATAGATTGATAAAGTCACTGGAATTTTGAAGATTTTTGGCATTTTTAATTTCTATATTGGTTTTGGTTTAGTCTGATTTCTAAGCTTCATAATTTCTATTTTCGTTTCTCTTATTCTCTACTTCTCATTCTAATTTGTGAAAT